GCAGTGCCATAATCAGTTCCATTAGGCTACACCGCCATTCCAAAACATGGGTATACAGAATGTCAAGTCACAAGAATAAAAATGCGAAATTTCTCATTTCAATATCGTGTATGGCCGCCCCGCGCATTCACCACTGCCAAACACCGTCTCCTCATCGACTGCCTGATGCTTGTGTACACGTGGTTGGGGATTCTGCGCCATTGCTCTTGCAAGGCAGCGCCAAGTTCCTGCAAATTCTGAGGTTGGTTCCTAAGACCACGAAACCTTCTCCCAAGTGCATCCCAAACGTATTCTATTGGATTAAGGTCAGGGGACCTCGATGGCCAGTCCATGACGTTGATTCCAGCGTTTTGAAGGAAATTTCGTGTCAACATCGCGGTATGCGGCCGAGACCTGGGCCATGAGCCGCCATGAAAGGAACGAGTTCAGGGGTGAGCACCTGGTCGCGGTAAGCAGCAGCTGTGAGGTTTCCACGGATGACCAGAAGTCGGGAACGTTTGTTTCCACAGAAAGCACCCCACACCATGCAACTTCCGCCCCCGAATCTGTCGACTTCCTGTACACAACATTGGGCATACCGTTCACGACGTCGTCTCCAGACTCTATGCCTGCCGTCTGCGAATCTGAGGGTAAACCTGGATTCATCGCTAAAGACGACTCGATTCCAGTCTCTCTGGGTCCATTGGAGGTGACGTTGGGCCCACAGCAGACGTTGACGTTGATGAAACGGCGTCAATATTGGCCCACGATATGGACGTCGAAAATGGAGATTGGCACCCCGCAACCGATTTCGAATGGTCTGTGAGGACAGTCTACCTCTAAACATCTCAGCCCTGGTTCGTGTAGCCGGCAGAAATCTGTCACGTGGGTGACGTAGGACGATTTGACGGTCTTCTGCTCGTGATGTCACACGTGGACGACCCGACCTTGGGCGATCAGAAGTGGTGCCAGTTTGTTGTAGACGACCTCGCAAGTCATACACAGTACGACGGCTGCATCCCATTGCTCTTGCAACGTCAATAACTGATCTTCCCGCTTGCAACATGCCAACGGCACGTTCACGTTGCACATTTGACAATCGTGGCATTTCAAGTACCGTTAGAACTGTGGTTTAAAAGTGTTTTTTCAATTCTTGAGGCCAATGCAAACACGTGCATATGAAGAAAACTTCGATGCGAAGATCACGTGATCGACTGCACGTGCAAAACCTGATTTGGCACTAACGTCATTTGAACGACGAATGGATGGGTTTGAGTGGGTTTTGCGAACGTTTTTCTAGAGTCGAAAGATAGGGATCCCATTTCGGATACATAGATGTATCATCAGAGAAATATTATTCTTTATTTTTCAAATTACATTTTGTGAAGTTTCTTTTTTGACTGAGTATTTTTATTGTCCAAAAGACAACGGGATTGTGCACAAGTGCACCACTTATGATCGCCTTCTCCCTTAATACAATTAAACATATTATTACATAATACAATGTACAATTTACAGTGGAAGCGTGACATTCGGAAAAACATATGCAGTGTTGGTATATATATATATATATATATAGTATTTTACATGATATATACAGTGTGCTGGAATGTGAAAGAGTGAAAAAAGTGCATGTCATACATTTGCAAATATTATACAGTATATCATTTAAAATAGAAATAGAACAATAATATTGTATTAGCTGGTGAATCTGTTTGTAGTTCCTATATACTTGTGTACAGAGAGGAATATATGTCTATTCATGAAATCGTTTAGGTTACCAAATAAGATAGTGTGCAGTGTTTTTTGGCCTCCAAATCTATCAAATTCTGAGAATTGCGGCTTCCTAAAGTCATAATAATAATAATAATAATTGATTTATAGAGTGCCTATTTCCAAAAGATATTGCTCAATGGCGCTATGAAGAGAAAAGATTGTAGACAATGTCTATGGAAAAGAGAGTTTGAACAGATGAGTTTTGAGGGCAGTTTTGAAAGCATCAGCAGATTCTATTTCTTTTAGGGTGAGTGGTAGAATGTTCCAGAGATAGGGGGCTGCAGCAGAGAACGCTCTTGATCCCATGGCTGTTTTGACGTGAGGCTGTGTTAGCAGTAGGGAGTTTGACGAGCGGAGCAATCGGCTTGGAACATGGAGATGAATGAGGCTTTTAAGATATTGAGAAACATGTTTTCATAGATGCAGCTGTGTGTAAGAAGAAGTTTGTATTGAATTCTGCTTGATACGGGAAGCCAGTGAAGAGTTTGGAGGATAGGTGTCACAGTTTGGTAGCGTGGTGCACGGGCAACAACACGGGCGGCTGAATTCTGAATCCGTTGGAGTTGTGAAAGGAGCTGTTGAGGAATGTTGTAATAGAGGGAGTTGCAGTAATCAAGTTTAGAGAGAACAAGGCTGGTCGTTAGAAGCTGGGCGGTGTTGAAGTCTAAGAGGGTACGGATCTTGCTAATATTGAAGATACGATAGAAGCATCCTTTGCTGAGTGATTTGATTTGATTTTCTAATGACATTAAAGTACATTCGAAAAAGAAGTGAAATGAATTTTCGCATGGCGCGCCACATTCACAGGCAATAATATCAGATAAGTTAACCCGAAACAGGTCGAAATTTAATGTGCTGCAACTATGTCTCAGTCTAGTGTGCAATACGTTTGTGTATCTCTTATCGCAATTGTAATATGTCGGTGGCAACGCGGATTGCTCCGATACGGAAGTTTTAAGAGAAGATACTGACGGACCGTTTCTTACTTTTGACGATAGATTATTCCATTTGCATAATATATCTATAACATAGGATCTTTTAAACGTGGATGTCCGTGCAAAAGGTATGACAAAATTGTGACAATTCCTCAGATTATATTTAGTGTTTTCTAACACAGATGGTGGTATAAGATCAATAACATACGATGGGCTTAATAATTATTTTATACATATGTACAAGTTTGTACAAGTTTGGTTAAGCCTGTTACTATTCTAGCTGCCTCCAGTTGTAATAATTCTAATTTATTAGCATTATAGGAAGGTCAATTGTCCCAGACAACGGAAGCATACTCTAATGGGGGTCTGATAAACACCAGATATATTTTTGACAGATTCGATCTACTTAAAGGTCATATGCAACCAAAAAATCAAACATAATTAAAACACAATTATCACTTATTCATGACATATAATATACATTGCTTGTTATGAAAAACCATATAAACAAAATTATAAGCGTACAATGGCAAATCAAAAGTGCAATATTGTGTACTTGGGTTTACTTCCCAAGAAACGAAGCAGCCGGAATACCAAACCCAGTCAGAGCGGAAGGGTGCACTCAAGTGTAACGGTTTTTCTTTTGCAGAGTCCCTCACGGCTCATTGTGTGTGTATATATAGAGATGTTGGGTTTTGTAAATACATGCTCATTTTTTGTGTATAACATTTTGCAATCAACAGACATCATAACATTTCATGTGTTCAAGTATCACACCTGCCTGTCTGTGTAATTACATAATGTGACAGAGACCGAACTCGGGCCATAAATCAATGCATTTTGTTTATGGTGTATAGCCTGATTGGTGTTAAGTTCAAATTGCATGTGGTCAGTGATCGCAGTTGTGTATTGAATATTGTCATTAGCAGACAGGCAGGCAGACACACAGGTGTCAATAAAACAAGACATTGAGTTTTGTCTGTGACAACGACATATCTATATCACAGTTAGAAATTCTGTCAACGCTAAATAATGACATTGCTTTTAAGTATCGAACTGATAAAGAGACTCGGTAAGAAGAACGTGTGGTGAAATAGACAAATGAAAGTATATAAACAGTTAATTTACTGTCATAACATATAAAAACCTCGCGCCTGTGAGATATCAACAAAACATTAGAAAAATAGTTCACACCAAAGCCTTCACCGAGTATTCACCGGACAACCCGCTTCCAAGTTGCGCGAACCTATTTCACTGCGCACGTACTATGAGCGCAGCCCAGCTGTTGGAACCACTTGAATTCCCCCCAAACGCTGGGGGAAAATTCGTGAATCGTTTGAACTACGATTTCGCGCGTTTTTTTCCATTGCGTTATTTTTCAACTTTATAAGCTGAATTTGCAATTTTGATGATTTGTTTCGGTAAGTCCATACCGAAAGGTATCAGAATCTGCAAAGTTGTGTTTTACGTTGCATGTGACGATATTTAAGCATTCTCATTGATGAAACTATTTTCGAAGTACTAGTAAGAATATTGTTGAAATGATCATTCTATTTCGTGTTTTTGTGATAATGTAATACCAAGATGCTTGTGGCGGTCCACACTATCGATACTTGCGTTTTTGAAAATAAGATCTGGTACTTTATCTGAGGTTTTATGTGAGAATAGTATATACTTGGTTTTGTTAGGATTGAATTGTACTAACCATGTTTGAGCCCACTCATAAGTCTTCATTCAATGAGTTTTCGATGTCCTTCATATCTGGAGATGCTATGTCAATGCTTGTATCTTCTGCGAATAAGCGTGTCAAGTTTTTTTAATTCATAACATATGTCATTAATGTAAATCAAAAATAATAATGGTACAAGAACTGATCCCTGAAGGACTCCAGCGTGTAACGTTTGTTCACTGGAGAGGCAACCGTTGACACTGACTTTCTGGCGTCTGTTAGTGAGATATCTATGAAACCACTTTAGCTACAGGTTCAATCTTGTAGACATTGCATTAATGTATAATGATTAGAAATAGTTCCAACTGTGTGACCTCAATTACGTATTAGTGGTTTTTTAATGGTAATACCTATTCTATACCGATGTTATTGTCCAAAATGGGATGGATAGAATAGTCGTTTATGTATTTTATTTGTACATTGTATTCTAAAACAAAATATATATCATTAAACATTTAATCGAAATGTTTTTATGTACACTGTATGTTGTTTGGATAATAAACTGAATTACTAAACAAAAGAAAATATATTTGCCATTTTTGTCTAATCGTATATTGAAAGAACTGTTTTTAAGTTTGGTTATGTCTACTTAACTATATCTTATAAATTCAATAATTTGTAAAATGCAATCTCTGACTGGGTAATTTGTGCAAACAATAAATTGTTCAGTGAAGACTGGTGTAGGAATTTAACTAACAAGCAACTGACATATACTACCCTTTTTGCAATATTGTGAAATTGTGCCGAAAAGAAAAATGAAAATGAAATGATTTTTAAAGAAAGGATGGCTAAGATACACATCAGCAGGTTTTTCCTTTGCAGTTGTTAATATTTTGAATTGCTAGAAGTTTTTAAAAATGTTTTTCGAAAAAGGGAAACAACGATTGCTGACTGGTAAGAAAACATTTCATTTTTAGGATATCTTCAGTTTTAAACAGATACTTGATTAAATAACAAGAATGCTGTCCCAGAGAAAATAAAGGAAAACATCTTTAACAAAAAAGAAATGTGTTCAAATGTGTTTTGGGGACCAGTAATGCCGATTCTGTTCACCAGATCAGATATAAGCATATACGATTATATATTGCATATCTTTGCTGGAACTAAGAATTATCATTTAACATTTAACAAGACAAGATACAACAGATGCAGGAACGTACATTGTGGAAAGCCACTGGCAGCACAAACTACTTATCATTGGGTGAGTATTATGCAAACAATAGTGACAATGTTTAAGCTGTATATTTATGCTAAGAAAAATATTTCATAAAACGAAGTCATCTTTGACCTCTCTGGCGAGGTCTTGCTGTCCGTCTATTCCCCTTAATATACTTTTAAATTTATTTGCGTATTTATACACACGCACGCAGTTACGCACGCACACACATACACGCATAAATGCATCATCTTGATCGGTAGATAGATCTATAACTGTAGCTCTTGTTGTTTTTTCTAAAATAGAAGAATAAGTAATTGTTTAATAAAATATACAGCTTTAAATGGTCAAATTGGATACTTTTCTTTGATCTTGTACTGACAATTATGTCCCTGTTTTGGTATTATTATCATTTTTATGTTTTAAAGATTGAAACAAAAATGCAGCAGAGAGGGTTCGGGTGATCCTGGCACAGTCAGGCTGGTAAGGCTAATCATCAGCTCAGGGTCCTTGCCCCTTCGACACGCAGCCCAGACAGCGAATGGACTTCTCCCAGTTAACGCTGCCTAGTCGAACCCACCAGGAACTTTCCGGAGAATATGAAGGCTCCCCAACACTGCTGCCTTCTGCATTACCCAGAGTGTCAGAAGGGCTGTGCTCCCGGTGGAGAACCCGGGCACTCTCCTGATCTGCACCAAGAGATCAGGAGGTACCAAACCATGGGCACCGAGAACAATGGGGAGCCTGACGACAGTGTACTTGGGATGCAAGCGAGACATTTCAAAGGCGAGGTCCGCATACTTAGCATGCTTTTCCTGAATCTTGCCAATCACGTTGCTGTCAAAAGGGACAGAAAATTCAATGATATAAATATATTCATTGGCTTTATCAAAAAGGACAAGATCATTTTTGATGGCTGGACTTCTTCTGAGGCTGTATATGGGCCTATGCCAAAGAAGTTTGAAAGCATCATTTTCCATGACGCCCTGGACATGTTCAGGGTCGTACCATGGATAGACCTCGGAGTCAAAGCCACGGTAGACGATAGTAGAAGCAGCGAGCCATGTCATCATGTCGTTTGTGCCAACGAAGGACATCCACCGACAAGGTGCTGGACAGTCTCTGTAAATTCATTGCAAAGTCGACATTTCATATTTGATATTTTGTTTAAGAATCACATTTTGGCGATTGCGAGTGGGAAGAGAGTGATCCTGAGCAGCAAAAAGAAAGCCCTCAGTTTCAAGACCAACCGACGTCATCCAGGCGAAGGAGTCAGTTTGATTGTTATTCTGTACACACAATGCAATGTTGTCTCAGAGAGTTTTTTCGACAAATGACCAACTCTGGGCAGACTTGGTGAATAACTTCACCTGGTTTACTCCCATCGCTGTACTGTCCAGCAGTACATCGGCATCAACAAAATCAGCCTCAACTAATTTCAGATTCTGTCCAACGACCTTGGCACGCTTAAAATAGCTGTGGAATTGCTTGCTTTCACCGTGAGTCTTGTCATGCATCACCAGAGGATCATCCGATAAATAAACATGTGCAAACGTACACAATAAAATTCTATCATGAAGAGCCTCCACATTAATCAAACCTCGACCTCCAACATTGATTGGCATATATAAACGATTAAGAGAGGAACAAGGGTGGTGGGCTCTGTTATCAGACATGATCCTTCTGGTCAGGAGGTCAAGACTCTGGATATCTTGTTTTGTCTAATCAACTATTCCAAAGGAATAGGAAAGGACTTGCATAGCAAAGGTATTGGTGGCTTTGGCCATGTTTCGGGCATTCATAGCTCTGAGCTCCAGATTTTCTTTAAGCGAGTTTTATACTTGACCCGAAGTTTGTCTTGAATCTGGACATTCTGGAGCTTGTCTCGAACTTGCATTTCAAGATAAGCGTGGGCCTGATCTTGCACAACATGCTCAGTAACTCCTCCCCCTTTTAACTTGACCGATCCATCATTTATTACCTTGCCACGTTTCAAATGAAGAATATTATACTTGTCGAGTCCAGATGTAATGCCAATATCATTAGAAAAGGACTCGACAAGGAGAACCTGTTCTTTTAAATTGGTTTCTTCTTTGGTAAGGAGCTCAATATCATCCATGTGAGTAAGTGGTGTTGGAGATCTGTGCTGACGACGTGCGGGATGGTAACCCTCCTCTTTATTGAGCAGAAAGCTCAAAGGATTTAAAGACAAACAAAAAGGCAAATAACTGAAGGAGTCCCCCTGGAATATTCCCCTTCTGATTGGAATAGATTCCGAAGTCTGCACCTGCCCTTGCAAGAACATCTCAAATTGAGTCAACCAGCAACTCATTAAAGACTTGAGTAAATCAAGTAGTCGCACAGGGAGGTCAATACAGTGAAGAGATTTCAGAATCCATTCATGAGGGACAGAGTCATATGCTTTCTTGTAGTCAATCCAGCACATGGAGAGGTTGAGGTGATATGTTTTAGCCTCTTCCAAAATCATTTTTTGTACAAGAAATTGATCCTTGCAAACCAATCATCCCTTTCTCACGCCCTTATGCTCTCTATAAATGATGTCATTAGAAGAGCAGTAAGATGACACGAGGTTTGTCAAATACCCTGTGAAGATTTCGTATTGTGTATTCAAACGTGATAGGGCGGAAGTTTTGGGCATCAGTCAAATCTCCTTTTTGGGGGAGGAATATTGTGCGACCCTTGCAGAGCCATGGAGGAACATCACCTGTGTCCACGTGATAGTTGAAACAGTGAAGTAATGGTGTTTGGACACAGGGGACCAGTTTCCAGTACCATCAGGCCCTGGAGCTGTATTAGACTTGGACTTATTGATAACACATTACAGGCAATCGGGTGAGATGTAACAGACAAACGACCAGGTTATTTTCTCATGCATTGCATGGTCGTAATTACTGACCCATGGTGCCTCAAGGTTACATTCGCCAGGTACAAACCATATTATAATTGCCTTTTTAAGCAAATAAATAAAACACATATGCGATTCTTAAATATCACTCAAAGACGGTAATTTACACAAAACAGTTGCATTCCTTCGCAGAAACGGATAACTGTAAACTCATCTAATGTTTTGATTTTATAGTTTTGACAACATCTCCATGTTTACCTGAGCAAAGACATTCCTTCTCAAACTGCTGCACGTGCTGTTCTCAAGGACCAGCCCTATTAAATGCACCCCCAAACCTGGCCGAAACATTCACATTACAACGTCAGCAGCATGCCGCGACTCACGACAGCTCAGAGGAACCAGGCGCTAGGAAGACATGAAGCTGGCCATACTGCACAAGCCGTTGCCAATCACTTCCAGGTCAACGTTCGGACCATCTACAGGCTGCAGCAACGTTTCCGGGCCACCAACACCACAAATGATCGCCCCCGTACTGGCAGACCAAGGGTGACCACAAGACCGCCATGTTGTGCGACAGCATGTACAGAATCCCTTTTATGCAGGCATCCGAAACAGCACGCCAGATAGTGGGAACACACGGAAGACCAATCAGTACTGATACAGTACGCCGACGTCTGAACAGTGGGAACCTCCATTGCCGTAGACCTTACCGTGGACCCTTTCCTCACCCCTCGTCATCGGCGTGAACGTCTACAGTTGCCCTACAGCACCAAAACTGGCGATACAGGCAATATAAAACTGTTCTGTTCACAGATGAGAGTCAGTACTGCGTATCAACTGCACATGGCAGAACAAGAATATGGCGCGGACGTGGCCAGCGTTACTCAGACCAATGTGTTATGGAAAGAGACTCGTGGGGAGGTGCAAGCATCGTGGTATGGAAAGGAATAGGCCTGAACCAGAGAGTGGAACCTGTGGTGTTCCAGAACCTTGGTCCAGGGAGAGGAGGCGGCATCACAGCGGTGCGCTACATTGACCAAGCTCTCAGACCCAACGTCATACCACATTTCGAACGTCACGGGAACAACATTTTCCAGCATGATAACGCCCGGGCCCATACTGCCAGAGCTACACGGGACTTCCTACAGCAGAACGGTGTCAACATTATGTGGCCAGCCCTTAATCCTGATTTAAACCCAATTGAACGTCTTTGGGATGAAATTCAGAAGAGACTGAATAATGTCATAGCAAGGCCGAACACATCCGATTTATTGCGCCAGGCCTTTCTCAGAGTGTGGTTCAAGGTGCCAACGGCCTTCATCAATAGATTGGTGCACTCCATGTATAGACGCTGTGCTGCAGTTATTGCCGCTCGTGGTGGTCACACTAGATACTGAAGTCAAGGGTCTGAATGGACTGCAAACGTACACGTAATGTCTTGAAATTGTGCTGAGTTATTCATTGAAGTGTCAAGATATTGTACACAAAAACTGTTTTTCATCCGCCTATTATGTCCATTTCTGTAATGATTTGATTACAGTGCCTATCTAATTTTGAATTCGTACTGATGTGGTTTTTGCTGCTGAGTATAGAAGATGAACAGCTGAGAATATTTTTGTTAGAGTACGTTTTCAACAAATAAATCTTCTTTTTCTTCTTTGTTCAAAACAGAAATTGAGTTATCCTTCGTGTTATAAGTAATTCTGAAGTTAATACGCTAATATATTTTAAAACATTTCATTCGAATGCAGTGTTACATTGGTCACCTTGGCTTGACTTTTCCAGGGGCCTTGTCAATTTCATTTTCACATTGAGGTAATCAACTAAGGATCTTCCACAATACATCAATATGAAATCCTTCCAGAGGGGCTCGAGCTATTCATGAGTTTGTCACGAATGATAGAATACATTGTATAAGAAGGGCTGTAGCATTGTCTCATTTCAAAACAGCAAAACAACAATGTCACATTAACCAATGTGCGACGAAGACACACCTCTGCTCTTTGACCATTTGTTGCATTGTCGTGAAATGTTGTTCTCTTTTCTTTTACCAAAGGGCGATAACGAGACAATGTCATATTTTTATGTTGCATTCTCTCGTTTTTGCGACATATCAATTTATGTAGAAAAACCTTACAGTTGATATAGTTGCCTTTTTCGACCGTTTCCATTGATATGCGCATGTGTTGTTTGTGAACTAATGTACTCGTGCGACGAATGGCTATACTCTGCTGGCTTTGGGCCGACCCTTGACCCTTGGAACGCAAACTGAACTTGACCATAGTTTTATGCATATATCTCAGTGCTTCAGTTATGTCACGGAAATGCGTTTAGACTGTGCATACTCTGTTCTCGTAAACTGTCTCTATCATGTTGTTATATAAACACTGATGTTTTAGATGAGATAGCAAAATTCATAACAGGTTTCATATATTCATGTGCGATCATTAAAATTTTAAACTGTCTGACGGACGGTCAAAAATGTAACAAAACACTATAGGACTAATACTGAGGATAAACGATACTTGGCTCATATATTATACATTTTTAGGTTACAATGTAATTTTTTTTAAACCAATAGTGTTATTATATGACCATTAAATCTTTTAAGATTCGGTGGAAGGTTGGTTGGATGTAAGGGTGATTGGTTGGATGTTTATCGTCGCAATATTACAGCTATATGGCGTTATTCTGTAAATAATCGAGTCTGGACCAGACAATCCTGTGATCAACCGCATGAGCATCGATCTACGCTACTGGGATACGACGACATTTACGACAAGCATGGCTTGCTGAAGACCAATTCTAAACTGTCTGTGTGGTCTATGTGGATAAGACATATCAATGATCAACATCTTTATTACAATTAGCAGCGACGTTTCGGTGTATTTTCTAACACTGCTTTTGAGCAAGTGATCCCTAATATTAATCTGCCATAGTATGACATAATGTGGAATGTGTTTAAGACTGTGGGCAGGCGTACGATTCTGTATTCCCACATGTTCACCAAATAAGTAATCCATTATAATTATTTGCTCCGATCAATGTGAGATACATGTTCAAGTCAGCATATTGCACATCCCAGAATCTAGGAATCTATATATCTATTTTCAGCGTATCAAGGTTGATACAGAAGAAGATATAAAGGGGGCAGAAAGCACAGTAAATACCTACGAATTGTGTCGAAACGTTTTTGACTGTGCGGTTAAATGCCAACGTGAAAATGACTGCTCGGGAACAAACTGGATGTGCTTCGAAGGTAAGTTAGCATATCTTCTGAAGAAGTTTTAATAAACCTTGCCTTCTTTGGCATTTTTTACTCTACAGGCGGACGGTTTGGTTTCTAATATATAACTAGTTCATGAGTGTAAGTGCGTGCATGGATGTTTGTATGTGAGTATGTGTATGCAGTTTCTGCCCTGAGACAATTTCTTTTCTACCGGTGAAGGTCCGGGATAGAATGAGCCTTCAGTAACCCATGCTTGTCGTAAGAGGCGACTAACGGGATCGGGTTATCAAGTTCGCTGGCTTGGCTGACACATGTCATCGGTTCCGAGTTGCGCAGATCGATGTTCATGCCTTTGATCACTGGATTGTCTGGTCCATACTCTGTTATTTCTCAACTAGATCTAAGAAAATTAAAATCGTATACCAACAGTTAACGATACGAGATGAAATGTGGCAAGAGATCGCTAGCAAGGGAAGTTAGGTCACCATACTAGGGACCGTGGGAACTTACAATAGATCTGCTTCCTGCACAGTTCCCTATCTCGATTTACGCCATCCCTTCAGCTGCTAGCTATTGTAGGTAATGGTAGCCATTTATTTAAAATCTGCAAATATTGTACGATTACAACCGATTGTAAATATTAATATTCTGTGATCGAAGTGGGCTTACATACAAAAGATTACTGTCTAAAGAACACGTTAGCAGAATCTTTTTAGCGGCATATGTCACTGATGACATGACATGTGAGTTACATATTCACTATCTCTGTATTTTATTGCAGCAGGCACAACAGGAGGACTGCAAAAAAGAGCATTGGGTAAGTAAAGGGCAATTAGGATTAGGTCAAACACGTAAACGTTTTAAGTATGTAGAGAAGCAAAGAATGTGTATATCAGACATAATTATGATGCACGTATCATATGGTCATATGGTTACATGGTGAAAATTTACTGTTATCTCAGAGAAAAAGAGTGAGTGAGTTTAGTTTTACGCCGCACTCATCAATATTCTAGCTATATGGCGGCATGTCGTGACGAGAACAATTAATAATTATATGATAGATCAATACAATTAGATCATAAAAGCCTGTTGACAAAGAACAGTGAAACTACTGGTGTATCACAGATATCCATTTAAAACTAGTAATTAAATCTAAAACATTTTAGCTAGAAATGACAAGACAATGTAAAAACAGGCTATAGACTACCAACAACTGAATGTAGATCACCATACTAGGGACCATGGGGACTTTGCTATGAAATATACTGAGTCAAAAAAGAAATTTCACAAAATGTAATTTGAAAAATAATGAATCCTTTTTCTCTGATGATACATCTATGCATCCGAAATGGGATCCCTATCTTTCGACTCTAGAAAAACGTTCGCAAAACCCACTCAAACCAATCCATTCGTCGTTCAAATGACGTTAGTGCCAAATCAGGTTTTGCACGTGCAGTCGATCACGTGATCTTTGCATCGAAGTTTTCTTCATATGCACATGTTTGCATTGGCCTCAAGAATTGAAAAAACACTTTTAAACCACAGTTCTAACGGTACTTGAAATGCCACGATTGTCAAATGTGCAACGTGAACGTGCCGTTGGCATGTTGCAAGCGGGAAGATCAGTTATTGACGTTGCAAGAGCAATGGGATGCAGCCGTCGTACTGTGTATGACTTGCGAGGTCGTCTACAACAAACTGGCACCACTTCTGATCGCCCAAGGTCGGGTCGTCCACGTGTGACATCACGAGCAGAAGACCGTCAAATCGTCCTACGTCACCTACGTGACAGATTTCTGCCGGCTACACGAACCAGGGCTGAGATGTTTAGAGGTAGACTGTCCTCACAGACCATTCGAAATCGGTTGCGGGGTGCCAATCTCCATTCTCGACGTCCATATCGTGGGCCAATATTGACGCCGTTTCATCAACGTCAACGTCTGCTGTGGGCCCAACGTCACCTCCGATGGACCCAGAGAGACTGGAATCGAGTCGTCTTTAGCGATGAATCCAGGTTTACCCTCAGATTCGCAGACGGCAGACATAGAGTCTGGAGACGACGTCGTGAACGGTATGCCCAATGTTGTGTACAGGAAGTCGACAGATTCGGGGGCGGAAGTTGCATGGTGTGGGGTGCTTTCTGTGGGAACAACCGTTCCTGACTTCTGGTCATCCGTGGAAACCTCACAGCTTCTGCTTACCGCGACCAGGTGCTCACCCCTGAACTCGTTCCTTCCATGGCGGCTCATGGCCCAGGTCTACAGTTCCAGAATGATAATGATCGGCCGCATACCGCGATGTTGACACGAAATTTTCTTCAAAACGCTGGAATCAACGTCATGGACTGGCCATCGACTGGGATGCACTTGGGAGAAGGTTTCGTGGTCTTAGGAACCAACCTCAGAATATGCAGGAACTTGGCGCTGCCTTGCAAGAGCAATGGCGCAGAATCCCCAACCACGTGTTCACAAGCATCAGGCAGTCGATGAGGAGACGGTGTTTGGCAGTGGTGATGCTAGAAAAGATTAGATAAGAGGATCCTACTCATTTTGGCACTGTGTTTGTCTAGTATATGTATAAACGATCTATGCACTAGTTACGTGGGCATTTTTTGAAGTATGTCGCCACTTTATTTCTATTTTCTGAAGCGTAACATATGTTAGTATATAAAAAGTCATCAACAGTCGAAATTTGCTTACCTTAACTTTCCGCGTAATAATACACTATGTGTTTCGGTAACTGAATAATAATGTGGTCTAACACATCTTGTCATCAGATGAAAGGTGAAGATCTAACAATGCCGCATTTATAAATACACCCAGGAGTGAGTGAGTTAAGATTTCAAGTCACATAGGCAATATTTCAGCCATATCGTGACTAAAACTAGTTATAAATTCATGATCAATATATATATAATTTATAAAACCCTGTCAACGAAGGACAGTAAAATTACTAGATTATCACAGATTTGTTAAAACTAGATCAAAGAAAATTAAAATCATATACTAACAAGATACGAGATAAAAAGTGGTAAGAGATTGCTGGCGAAGAAAGTTGGGTCACCATACTTAGGACCGTGGGGACTTACAATACTTCTGCTTCCTGCACGGTTCCCTATATATTTGTAGGTAATGGTAGCCATTTTTATAAAAACTACAACTATTCTACGATGGTAAATGTGAATATACTGTGATAGAAGTGGGCTTACATACCCTCTCGAAGGTACAATAATTTTACACCACCGTCAAGGGTATCGCCACTTCATATCACAGTTAATGTTCACGTGTTACATCTCTAAAAATAATATTCATATATACATACACATTTATGAATCAAATCAATTTTTAAAAGAAGAAGACAATAATAATTAAATGAGAAGTGATATCTTTAAAAAGATCCTTCATAGTAAGTGATTTGAAATAGTTATCCCTTGTGATGGAAAAGTCAATACAGTCAAGCCATATAATCTTGACCTTGATTCACTCGTCACAAGGGATACAAAACGGAGGATCCTCACCTTTCAACAAGTATTCGTGAGTATATCTACAGTGGCCAATACGGCATCGTAGTAGGTATAACCGATAGTTGGTTTAATTGCATGTAATTTGTTGATACCTACTTGAATGGCTTCTTTTGCATTAAATTTCGGATATAAGATCTAATGACAGCTTTGCAATCAGAGTATGGGATCAAAAGTGGTGTCATAGATTTGTTTAGTGCTGCCGTCTGCATTGTGTTACCAGAGATTCCCACATGGCTGTGTAACTAACAGAAGACATTGTCGTATTGGCCAGTAGCAACATCATTATATAATTCAATTATTTCTATTAAAAGTGGATGTTTGCAAGAAAGACTTTTAATAGCCTGAAGGCACGAAAGAGAGTCGGAAATTAGTTAGGGATATATGTAATTTTGAAATTATGAATAATGATCTATTTATTCATTGACACACTGATAAAATATCAATCATAAACATACCAATATCCTAACTTATTTTGTCCAGTATATAATTTTTATATTTAGGGTGTCCTTTAATATATACTGAACATCATTGAAAACGCACCACTTACAAAAGTTCAGATTACTAAAAGCACGTGTAAGGAATTGATATTCTTTTAGTGGATAATAACAGATGGACGTCTGACAAAAACAACAACACAGAAAAGACGCTCATTCATTTAATTGTTCCACAGTCAGAAAGGATCAAACACACGTGGGGTCAAATCGAAAATTCAATATCGCGTGTGACCGCCATTTCCATTGACACATGAAGTGCAACGTCTCCTCATTGAGTCAATAAGCGTCCGAAAAGACTTCTTGAGGATGGCATTCCACTTCTGCAGTAGTGCAGCCTCAAGTTCCCGGATGTTTCGCATCTGTTGTCGCCGAGAAAGACTTTGACCAATTTCGTCCCACGAGTGCTCAATGGGGGGATACACCTGGCGACTGTGCTGGCCAATGAATAACCTGGATGTGTTGCTGGGACAGATACTGCATGGGAAGTCTCTCTGTGTGTGCCCGTGCGTTGTCCTGCTGAAAAGTATGGACATCTTGGTGGTGATTGAAGAATGATACGACGTGATTCTGAAGAATCTGGTCACGGTAGCAAAGGGCATTAACTCTTCCTTAACAGACATGAAGGGCAGTTCTGTGATTGAAAACTTATTTCACCCCAGACCATGACACTTCCACCACCCTACGGTCTGTCTGAACCACACACCGATAAGCATAACGTTCACCACGTCTACGCCAAAAAACATAATCTGTCGTCAGCATTATGTAGGTGAAGACGTGATTCGTCAGTGACTACCACACCATGCCATTGTTGTAAACATTACTGAACATGCCTGTTAGCCCATTGCATACGCCCATTACGGTGTCTGTCAGTCAGAATTGGTCCAACGTAAGGACGTCGAGCATGGAGCCCTGTAGCGTGTAGACGGCGTCGCATGGTGTCAGCGCTGATGACCCCACGTCGACCTTGAACTAGTGCAGGAGTCCTGGCAGTTGGCAGTGTTTGATCACGGATATGGTCAAGGTCCATATGGCGATCCTGACGGGAGGTCGTGATACGTTGTTGCCAAGGTCGTTGAAGGTCACGGGTGCTGCCTGTCTGCTGATGTCGTCTATGAAGCGCAACGATGGTGGAGTGGCCAAGTCCAAGTTGTCGAGCAATATCCCTGCTGCTGGTGCCAACCTGAATCATGCCTAGAGCACGTTTTCTTCCGTGAGGAGTTAACCTCGGCATCTCTGTCCTCGTTTCACAAGGGTTAGTGAAGCAATGAGAATCGTTTCTCATACACCTGCTTTAAATGTCACAGTCAGCATGATTTCAGAATGAAATTCGCGCTTTTTTCATGGAGTGGTTGCAGGTTGATGCGTTTTGGAATAAAGTGTCATACTGTGAACAGGAAAGTGTTTTTAAAGCATTTTGTCAACTAGACATGCCCTTCGACTTCATGTTAGTTATATTCATAGATCATTATCATGCTGAAATCCATCTTGATGAAAATATGGACAATTTTAGACTGAAGAGAGAGATTTTGTAATATTATCCAAGCAGCAGCGATTGGCAAGCTTCTGAAAAGGTTTAGGGTAGGTATCAAGGGTGAGCATATACTCATCCTCACGGATGCAATATGAGAGAACAGAGGCAAGAGTGTGCCCCTTTATTCCTCCCCTTTGTTATGTCTTCTGGTGAATTATTTTTTAAATTACCCGTTAATTTACCCTAAACCGTTCTCCCTTCACACCGCAAAAGACCTCAAAATGTTTTTAAAAATCCTTGTATACTTCAGCAGAGGATTGAAATTATTT